TTTGGGGAATTCATACTATTACTATTAGAAATATACATGCAGTATTGTGTCAGCCTGTAACCTGTATCAACAGTCTGGCTTTGCTATGTTTGTAATTAATTTAATTTTGTGTTATTTATTATTCGAGATCATGCCAAAAAGGAAAGCGACAAAAGATTCAGGGCAGGGGCCTCAGGCAGGAACGAGGGGTGCCAACCGGAGACTGGCGTCGGTGCCGCCGACCGAGGAGGAAGCCGAACCTTATGTGGAGGCAGTAGATTCAATGCCGATGGAGCCACAACAGCAGGCGGACCATATGGGTGGCAGTTCTATAGGTATATCTCCTATTGAGGGGTCAGAGCAATTGTTTCCCCCCTCCAACCCCTTGCCCATAACAAGTGCCCATACTTCCCCCCAATAAACTTCTACTACAACTTCTACAATACTTCCCCCCAAGTGCCCATACTTAGCCCCTAGGCTAATGTCTAGCCTGGCAACAGACAAAAAATAATATCAGGGCAATATATAGATTTGGGCCTGTTGTTATTGAATGGGCCGTCTGAACAAGGGGAACAGCTACTGATGCTGAATAAAAAGGGTGAATTGATAACTAAGGCCAAAATCAATGAGAGGATAGTTAGTGTAGAAAAATGGACTGATGCCATGATGGTGTTTGCGACCATTTATGGTTCAGCTCACCCAGCAAAACACCCTGATTTGTTGAAGTATATATCAACTGTTGGACTGGGCGCAGCAAGATCACCAGGTGGGTGGGGCTGGAAAAGGTACGACGAGCAATTCCGGCTCAGGAAAGCTCTCGACCCGGATAGTTCCTGGGCAGCTGTGGACATGGAGCTTTGGCCCCTATGTATGGCAGGTCAAACTGCCTCCACCCGCCCTTCTGCCCCTGCGACCAGCAGTCAACAGGGGAGACTCAGGTGTTTTGATTTCAACTATAAAGGTTCATGCTTCAAAAGTCCATGTTCCTATGTCCATGCATGTACACAGTGTGGGGGGAATCATTCCGCGACTGTATGTAATGCTGCCGGGGGGGCAGGTCAACAAAATTCTCAGCCAAAATTTAACCAAACCGGGTCAGGTCAACACAATTTTAAGCCAAGATTTTCCCAACCCCGTTCTCCATACCCCAGGGCGGCAGTCCCAAACCAACCGGGTCACAACCAAGGGTACAACCAACAG